CCATCCGACCAACCGACCGACTTCTGATTTCTTCTGACTTCTGATTTAAGTTGATAGCAGTATGCCACTATTTGATGGTATTTTATGGGATACAATACTTGGGATACAGCTCAGTTTATTGCATTCTTCAAAAATATAATGGCAGAAAATATGATGAGTAATTATAGTATAACATGGCTCACATCAATAACAGGAACAGCATAAAAAGCCATAATTTCAGTTTTAGGAAACAAATCATACAATCATATTTGATTGCATGGTTGTGTACTTCAGTTTGCATGATTGTAAATTCAGTTGTAGTCATCTTTCTCATATGCGCAAAACCAGATCCCTGGCACCTGTCCCAGGTTGGGTATCCCACTGAATACGAAGACATTTCAGTCGCCCTCCATTAAATCTGAGATGTGTTATGATTTATAAGTGTGTGTGATTTTTAAGGTGCAGTCAAAATATAAAAAATCTTTCCTTTTGAGCATTCTTGGATAAAATACGTTTTTTTTTTCTGTGCTGAGAGTAAAATGTACGTGTAAATTTTTTGCTTTTTATTTAATTTCTCTTTTGCATATTTTAAGAGTAGTTTTTATATATGTAAAATAGTGAAAATCAAGATCTTCATTTATTATATTAGTACAATAAGTGAAGAGAAAGAACGTAACACTGAAACCAGACTAAAACCTGTAACCTTTATGTGCTTTCAGATGCATGTACTTATTGTGAATGCTGTACCAGAGGCTTTCCTGTGCGTTCTCGCTTGATTTTTCAGGTGTACTGCTTTCCTTTAAGGTCATAATTAACAAATGTTCCCAATTAAAGCTGCCTTTGTTGTTTGGCAACATTAGAAAGGTAATCTCCAAATTACACTGCAATTTGCCTAATATTTCATGATTAGCTAATGATGGGTAGCTTGCAGATGTGGACATCTGTTTTGATATAGTCAGCTGACCTGTGTCACACCAGTGGAAATGTATTATAAATAGGGCTGTCATTCGAAAAAAATGTCCAGATTAATTATATGGATATACTGATTAGCTAATCAGATAACTCACAATTAATTTCTTATATAAATATTTGCTGAAAAAATGCCCCCAGATTAATATAATTTAAATACGTCATTGTGTCAGATGAGTAATTAATTGAAAATACATTACAAAAAGTGGTTTTAGGAGTGTGTGTGTGTGTGTGTGTGTGGTCATATAGTGTCTTCCATGTTAAAAGGGATGATTATACAACAAAATGTGTAATGTATAATGTCACATAAAGGTAATGTGACACTTGTAAAATATATTTAGATGATCCTAATTTGGGGCCACACTTGACTTGGATGAAAGTGACAGGTCATGCTATAATGAGTAATGGTCATAATGTAACGAGCAGATGAAGAGAGCTGTCATAGATACATCACTAATGAGTGTAATTCGCATTTGCAGTCAATGTCATCGTGGAAGAGGCATTAAACCACCTGCCCCTGCAGCTGCTGGTTTTTACCCCAGCAACGGTAGCATGTGGTGGTTTATGTGTGTGTGTGCACACTGTCACACAAGATTGTTCATTGGCACTAACTAGTGTGTGTGTGTATATCAGCAGCTCATTAAAGTGGCATGTTTTCTAACACCAGACATATTTAACATTAAATTAACACCCAGTTAACGTAATAACACCTCTGTGTTCACACTTTGACGCTTGTCTATCTCTTTCTTCACCCTTTCCCTCTATAGCTATGAGATTTGTGTATTTATTTCACACCACCACTAGAGCTCTGTTCAAATAAAACCTAGGGAGCTTCTCTGCTGCCTACATGTGTGGCTGCCTTCTAAGACAGCATCCTATCTCTCATGGAGCCTCATAAGTGAACAATTAGGAAAGCTCTACACAGAAAGCAAATTCAGCAAACAGTTCAGCATTAGCTTGTTGCGTTATACACTAATAAGCTTGAAAATAAATAGAACATGCAAATAGCAAGGTGTACCTAATAAAGTGGCCAGTGAGTGTATATATATATATATATGTATATGTGTGTACAGTATATATATATATTTTTTTGTTTTGTTTTGTTTTGTTTGTTTGTTTTTGAAAAAACAAAGTATTTCACTATGCATTCTGGGATTGCCTCCCCCGAATAAACCTACTTTTTGGAACAGGCATTGTGGAGAGACCAGTGTCACGGTGCGTGCGGGGAGATGAAGCGAGGACTCAATTGCAGGAGAAATGGTTATTTATTTTGATAATAACAATGAAACAAAAACAAACTCAAACCACCCCGAAGGGGAAAAACAGACAGGCAGGCCTAAAGCTGCACACATGCAGACACGAAACACACACAATGAGAAATGACGGATCAGCACAGGATGACAGACACAAGGAGAATAAATGGGAACCAAACGAGGAGGCTAACGAGGGAGACACAGGTGGAGCAACTAAAACAATAACGAGGTAACAAGATGGGAGGGGCAAGACAATAGACAGGAGAGAGCACATGGCGACAGACAAACACAACACAAGCCATGTGCTCACAGAACACAGTCATCTGGTGGCCCTCCTGGGCACACCCGCTGCAGACTGCGACAACCAGTGAGGCCATAAAAAGCAGTATATATTTTTATTTTGTGTAATATTTCTGAATGATCATCCCCGAATGGAAGCACACCTTTCTGTTTTTGGCATTCATGGACTAGGTAGAGCAAGATGTCCACAAAAAGTGACACCCACCCCCCCCTTGCTGTAGTTTCAGCAGAACTCTGAGCCTGTCAGCACACTGGAGATTTATCCTGCAATGTGAGCCCAGTCAGCAGGGAGTCTGTGTGATCCATTACTAGAACTCTACATAGAGATGCACTCATGCACAGATGCAAATGCACACACATATGTGAGCATATGTTTGCTTTGGTAGTCGTTGTTGACCGTAGTCTTTGTCTTCAAGGTTGTAAGAGTGTATGTGCACTGTTTTAGAGTTTACTTGAGATTATGCTGTCAGTCAGACCAAATGGCTTTTTAAAGCAAGTTAGTTTATACAGCAGCCATCTTGGAAAACCATTTTCTAGTCATGCAAGTACAACTTCTGTCTTCATGAATGTGACTAAATCTGACTGAAATTGTTTAGCTCAAATCAGGCTAAAGAAAGCTGTATTTTTTTTAGGTTGGTCAAGCTAGAAGCTATGTTGAGCTAATGAACAAGTGTATTCTAGTAAGAATTGTTTGGAAGACCAAGCAACGACTTTACTAGTAAGACAATTGCCACTTTTTAATGAAAGGTGGGATCACATTGTTCATTACAGCAAGTTGATTCACTTTGCAGCCATCTTGGTAATTGACAGTTATTTTCTACCCTTGTGAAAAAAGAATTGCACTTAATTGTATTGAACGTTCACTTGTTTTAAAAAATACTTTTAATTTACAAGTGTATTAAAAACACTGCATATAATGTTATATTAATGAAATGAAAAGCCACTCAAGTGTACTTATGACTACTTATTACTATTTCTTAACACACTTTAAAGTACATTTTAAATGATTATGTTTTAATAATCTTTTGTTGTGCTTTAAACAATTACACTTGTTTTGTTGACAACCATACTAAAGTAGTGTTATTTGATATTATATTTTTAAGTTAATATATTGTAATGTACTAATTATTATAAATGTGTATTAACCATATTTTAAAGACAATATAAGTAATTATGAAATTACATGTAAATATGTACTTAAGTCCTTACGTGGATCAAAAAAACACTCTGAAGCTCAACTAATTGCATTAAATATACATTTAAACTGTAATACATTTTCCTTTAATTGCAGTTAGCATACAGTTAAATGTGCAAAATTGTTTTGTTCACACTGAAGTATATTCTTTTAGTTTATTATTATCTGTAATAAGTACTCTTTTTAAAAGTATGATAAATTTTACTTTTTCATAAGTGTAGTCAGGCAAGTACAACCCATATTAACTAAATTGCTATCATATATTTAGACCAGGGCTGTTCAAACCTGTTCCTGAAAGTCCACTGTGCAGTTTAGGTCCAACCCTAATTATACAGACCTGAACCAGCTGATCATGGTATTCAGATTCAGTAGAAACTTCCAGGCAAGTATGTTGGAGCTGGTTGGAGCTCCGGGATCAGGATTGGACACCCCTGATTTAGATTCTTTAGCTCAAATCACATACATCTGCAGACTAGACTAGACTACGTTCTAGAGTAAGGACTAAATCAGGTCTTTTGCATTAAGCTGATTGGAAATGTCTTCACAGACAACCACCATGCTGAGTGTTGGGATTTCTCCCATTCATTTTTCAGTCATTAATTTAGTCTGTCTCCATTTTATACCATCTCTGATTAAGTATACGTAAAAAAGGGAGAGAATTGAACTAATTCCGTACATTCCTGGAGCACCTTGCACCTCTTTTCAGACTCCATTACTGCCCCAGTCCATTGTTTATTGTGTTCTGTAGTAAAATGATGAAAATATCCCCGGTCTGACTCAAAGGGGGCCATTGTAAGACGAGCATCACTAACTCTGAACCTGTCAACACTTGCCCATATTGTGCTGCTACACTATAATAAAATGTCCTTTGTACAGTAACAAGTCTGTAATCTTCATATATTAGAGGCAGTTTTACCTGCACACTCCTGAACACACACAGAGCGCTAATAGCAACATGACCGTCTCTTTAATTTCACACACTTGCTGTATGCTTTATCATAGTTCTCACAAAAGTGAATTAAGGCCAAAATACTGAACTTAAAACGTATTTTAAAAAAATGTTAGATCAGATTACTATCCATAATGTTTTGTTAGTTAACCTTAAAACTGTATTAAATTAAATAAGGGATCATGTACATTTGCACAAAATAATCTATCTATCTATCTATCTATCTATCTATCTATCTGTCTATCTGTCTGTCTGTCTGTCTGTCCGTCCGTATATACGTATGTACGTACCATGATAACACCACAGTCTGAAATATGCCTCTCTTTGACTTTCTGTTCTGGCTGTGTATCTACAGGGGCAGAGATTCCTTCAGACCCAAACGTGGTGGCCGCCTCCAGTTGGAACATGTCCAGCGGAGCTGAAAGAGGTGAGTTTTAGCCCAGCTCTGTTAGGCCACTCAGGGACACCATTAGGACTAGAGTAATGTGAAAGATCGGCAGCGATTGCTGCGTGTTTTGTCTGGAGATGAATGTTAGTTTTGATTGCCAAAGCAGACAGCATTTCTAGCAGGTACACGTGAGCTCTAGGATGGCAGCATTTTGAAAGAGCCTTAAGTCATCCCAATTCCTCGGTCTGGGACATTATGCACTAATTTGGGGGTTTCCGTTGTCATGGTAAACCTAGATCTGCTGTGTCTGTGCTATCATTTTAGATGCAAGTTGGAACAAAAGTCAGGAGAATTCAAGCAAGATTGTATTTTCCATAAGATTTCACAGTGCCCACGTACGATAACTCCATTTAATTTCTCTCTCATGAATGCACATGCACAAATAACTACAAATACATAATATAAGCACTCTGTTCCATTCTTTCCATTACAAGCCACTTTTCTGTCATTCTTTTATTTGTCGTTTCATTTAAGTGTATTCCCTGTCTTGAATAAAACTCAGTAGTAATTAAACTAATAAGAGAATTGGAGTCATTATGTCCGCTATGTGATTTCTCCAAATTGTCCTAATTGCTTTGGGATTAATATTTAAATCTCAGTCAGATTTGTTGCCGGGTGTTTGAATACAGCTGTCAACACAAGAACTTTCTTCTGACTTTGAGGCTTTTCCTTTTGACCAGCAGTTGACTTATGCTTTAGGTCAGAAAACAGAAAAGGTTTAAAGAAACAAAAGATCTCACAGTGATTCCTGTCTGCTAGATACATATCTTTTTTGTATATGGGTGTTTCTTCAACTGTATATTAGCTAAAGTAAGCTCTTTTAAAACTTACTTCACACTCTCACTAGTTTATTTGATTTGTCTTTTTTTTTTTTTATTACAAATGCTTGAGGTAAAATATCATTTTATGTGTCTCAAATAAACTCAATACTATCATATTTTTACGCTTTTTGCAACTTTTGTAATTTTAGAAAATTAGGCTTTCGTTTGGATGTTGTACTTTTTAATTAAGAAAATTACTCTGGAAATGATTAACATTTATTCTAGGTATATTTACCTTGATTTTTCATAGTTTTCTTCAAATATAATGTCTAATACTTTAACATGCTGTTCAAGACTTTGTTTCTGTCTTTTATTAGAAGCTAAGTACAGAGGGATTTTCACACAATTAGCACTGAAATCATTTTTGATTATTTTATATTTAAAGCCTGCGGTATCATATTTAATACATAACTTTCTAAGACCTATAAATTATCAAACTATTCAAAACTGCTGGTTTAAATCTAAAAATATCCACATTTAGGTTGAGGCACCTGATTTATTTATTTTTTGAAATTTTCTTAGAATTTCTTTTAGATTTTGACTAAAGGTTCAACAAACTGCCCAATTTAAAAAAATGTGATTCTTCAGACTAATATTTATATTTTACAGAGGCTTTACAGTGTTAAATTAGATGTCATAGTTTTTATGACATGCATTTTCATGAAAGGTAAAAATATCAGCAATTGCAGAACAACATGATAAATACCACACAGAAACCTTAGCAACTACCCATAATGCTCTAGTATCATGTCGTCAGTCTTTTCTGAAAATCTATCTAGTTCTATAATGCTTTGAATAAGTATACATTTTAAGTGATATAAAATTGGACATTTTGTTGCATTCACTTGTAGATTCCACATCCAAGAAAGAATATGCACATGCCTTCCTATTTATCTCAGTGGCTCCATTGAAACTGATGTAGCAGAAATGGTATGATAGACTCGGACATCCATTTCCCTCACACTCCCCTCCAATAACTATCAGCACAGTAAACATAGAGCCTACTGTCCACACATCCACACTGCCAACAAAAGATGCCATTGTCTCGATCCTGCTAACTTTAGATGGTCAAATTACTTCTTCCAATCATCTGCCGAACTTTGATAAATAAACAACTGAATTACATGTATGTGTGGGATTGTGTGCAGCTTGTTCCTTCTGGCTGAAGTTCCTAACCAGTCACCGCATCCTTACATCATTAAAAGGAAGTGGAAGTGCCCAGAAGATTAGGCTTGTCAGTCAGACAGCATTATGGGTCGGAACTGATCCTCCCTGTGGTTGGATTCTTCATTCGGTTCCATTTTTTGGAGAGCCATATTCGTATATTGTTGTAAGAGAGCTGATGTTTGGATGGAGGAAATTAAGATGGAGGGATAAAGAAGAGCTCCGCCAGGGGAAGGACGGGATCTTTTCCTCCAGCTGTCCTCAGACCAGACATGTCTGTAGAAAGAGAGGAGGGAAAAGAAAAGGGAGGAGGTGTGAATGGACAAGCGTAAGGATAAAAGGGAGTGGAGTAATAGTTGGATGGTGTGTATATTAGTCACTTGTCACCCAGACCTCAGGTATCTCACTGTGGTTTCATATGTTGCGATGGGGACCATAGGAAATGACTGAGGCCCCAAAAATCTGCACGATTAATGTATTTTGTGGATTGAATTTTGAATCTTGAATCTTGAAAAAGGACTTGCCTTTGCAGCACTTTCTAATGCAGATGTTGTCAAAGTTATTTTGTGTGGAAAAAAATAATATAGTAGCTATATTGATATTATAAAGACAGGAGGTTGTTTGCATAATTAACAATTAGCTTTTATATTATTATTGTTGTACATAATATTGCAAAATTAAATCATTGGAAAATTAAAATGGAATTGTTATTATAAATTATTGTAAAATTATTAAACCTTTATATTATTATTGTTAAAAAACAAATTTGCTGTAAAAAATAGGATTGTCAATATAACAAAATAATTTGTTAATAATTAACAACATTAACAATTAACAGTTAATATACAATCTCGTGATCATGAACCATATATATATATATATATATATATATACAGTATATACCGGTTTGTTATTTTTATCTGAAATTTTCCATGGACACCTTGGATTTTGAAAACCCCTATTCTGAATGTTTTTGGATTAATAGGGTCACTTTAATTTTTTCCCATACTCTTGTTAATGTTGTGGTCAACAAAATCCTGCTCAAATCTACCACCAGATTCCTGGTAACCCTAGATGCAGTTTGCTGAGCACTGCTGTCAGGTCACAGGTGTTGTTCAGACAGCGCTAGGGTTTCTGAAAGGTGAATGGTAGTCAGAGGAATTCAAGCCCTACTACCACAGCAGGACTAATATTGTGGATGTACCTGCACAGCTGTGGGCCCTGCGGCTGCTTAGCCTGCCTTTAACCCCGAGGGGCCACACTCATGGCTCCCTCTCAATATACTTTTATTAATTTTCTCGTCAAAGTCACATTCCTTGCACTGCACCAGAGTCTGACCTCCTGTGAGAAGATGCCACTGAATTTGAAGAGAGAGGGAAGGAGAACTATTCCAACCACTATAAATTCAGACTTCAGTGAAGTAATGTGGCATAACATGTCAATCAACAGTTTGTATTTTCTAGTTTTACCATTATGATTTATCATATCATATACCTCATAGATTCACAGACCAATTTCATTGCCTTACAGACTTGTATAGTGCATAACAGAACAAAACTCTTTAGGTGGCTGTGACTTTTGAAAAAAAAATTTCATTCCAATGAATTTCTTTATCGTCAAAAAATGAATAAATAAAAATCGGGAATTGAATATACATATATATATAAACAGAATATCTGAATAAACACATCAATTAGATGTCTTCAATAGAGGAATGAACTACTCATCTCCTGAAACATAGTGAATGGCATAATTGAATCAGAAACAGCAGTTTAATATAAAAACTATTTATATAAAATAAAATTAATAAATAAAAATTATAAAATGAAATATACCTTTCTTGAAATATTTATTTATTATCATTTAAAAACAATTTCTCTATGGAAAAAAATGTGGGGGGTTTTTTTTGTTATGTTTTTTTCTTTTGGAACCCCACTTTTGCACTGCATTATTTATTCATATATATATTTTTAGTAATTTATTTAGTTTGTAATAGTAATTAGTCACTGCACAATGCCCTAGTAGTCTATTAGACTCTTTTAATCATGAGCAAGTATTGACAGATTGTTGGACTGTATGTTTGATATGCTCATAGTAAATCCGTGCTGAGTGAGAGGAAAAGTTTACTTTCACTCTTTGCTTCTTGGCTGCACCAGTAGGGCTTGTCGGGATGCCATCAAGAGCCTGTCAGAGCATGTCTGCCAAACCGATCATATGACTCCACAGGAAGTCCCAGGGAACTTTACAGAGGTTAAAGTTATTTGTATGAAACAACTTTGACTGTTTATTTTTTGCCAAGATGATCTCATTAGTATTCATAGGCATTTGTACACTAAGTGTACACTTTTTATTTTAACATTTTTGTATGGGTGGACATACACTGAAATGTACAATAATGTATTGACAGCATCTAAAACTTAAACCATTTTATGTATTACTTTAGTATATACAACCTGAAGAAGTACAACATATGTGTAACAAAGTGTAACATTGTCAGTTTTATGATGTAACATTAATGTGTTTCATTTATTTACTGGTTTATATGCGTGTTCTATCACAATCTTTGGTTTGGGTGTTAATTTTGGACTGTACATTTCAGCATCTATTCAAATGTATGAAAATGTATTTGTGCTAAAACCACACATTGTTTTCGCAAACACACACATACCATTGTATATCCACTCTTACCCTAATTCTGGTTGACGTCCTTCACCACAAAGTGTTTCAACTGTAACTTTCCCATAGATTTGAGCATTCCCCTCTATGGCCTTACTCAGACCAGAATGGGTCAGATCTGCTGAGCTCACTGCAAGCGCTTTTATTTCCCTCCCACCACTCATGAAATATTGGGGGTTGTCATGTTTTTGCTGGCCCCTTATCAAAGTTAGCTGTAGGCCTGGCAAGACAGATTTTCTGGAGACAGAAGGTTCCAGAAGCTTCAAGAGGTTTTGCCGTCCCCTCTGGCAATATCCAGCCCGATGAGACAAACTAATGATTTACCACCTAGTGGCAACCACTAAATATCATGTAAAGAATTCCTAACCGGCAGCTTAGAGGTTTGTTGCACATTGTATGCTCGTATATAGTTTCAAATACACACAAACAGTCTCGGAAAAACCCTCTCGGAAAGACTTTTGACTTACTACATGTCAAATAATGGCGGTTTAAAGGATTAGTTCTGTCATTATTGCTCACCTTCATTCTGTTGGATTTTTTAACCCTATTCCCTTTGGGTAATTTGAGTAAGTTAGCTTTAATCGACATTTTCAATAACTTTTCTGCCTTGTCCTTTCAGATCACTTTCTAAGGCTGGATGCTCCAATGAATAACATCACTACCTCCCTCGGACAGACAGCTGAGTTACATTGCCACGTTTCAGGGAATCCACCACCCACAGTCCGCTGGCTTAAAAACGATGCCCCTGTGGTCCAGGAACCGCGGCGTGTCTCTTACCGGCCCACTCCGTACGGCTCCCGACTGAGAATCCGAAACCTGGACACCACGGACACCGGCTACTTTCAGTGTGTGGCTACCAACACCTATGGCACAGTATCTACCACAGGGATCCTGTTTGTCAAGTTTGGTGAGTGTTTTTGGAATTTAACAATACCTCGATGATTTCACAATCAGGTGACCGATGATGCATTGCAGAAAAACTTCAGGTCTGTGTGTTTAAACACATCCCAGAGGGTCATCTTTGCTAGCTCAGGAGACATTAGGGGGTCCTCAGTTATGTGTTTTTAAAGTATCGACTTTGTCTCAGTTGTTTCCCTGAAAATTACTCTAGAAAAACAAATGCAACAAATGCCAGGAAACCAAATTCCAACATTTGCAAATTGCTGCATTGTGTTAAGCCTGTTGCTGACTGTGTGAACCAGCCTTAAAGGGTTAGTTCACCCCAAAATGAAAATTCTGTCAGTAATTACTCACCATCATGTCGTTCCAAACCCGTAAGACCTTCGTTCGTCTTCGGAACACAAATTAAGATATTTTTGATGAAATCCGAGAGCTTTCTTACACTCCGTAGACGGCAACACAACTATCACGTTCAAGGCCCAGAAAGGTAGTAAGGACATCGTTAAAATAGTCCATACGTGACATCAGTGGTTCAACCTTAATTTTATGAAGCTACAAGAATGTTTTTTTGTGCACATGTGTCATGGTACTCTCGTGAACACTCGTTGAAGACTGACACGGAACAGAAGAATTGTTGAATAAAGTCGTTATAATTGTTTTCTTTGCACACAAAAAGTATTCATCGAAGCTTCATAAAATTACGGCTGAACCACTGATGTCAAATGGACTATTTTAACAATGTCCTTACTACCTTACTGGATCAAAAATATCTTCATTTGTGTTTTGAAGATAATCGAAGGTCTTACGGGTTTGGAACGACTTGAGGGTGAGTAATTAATGACAGAATTGTCATTTTTGGGTGAACTAACCCTTTAAAGGGAAAGATAGTTCACCCAGAAATGCAGATTTTCACCGTTTACTCATTCTCATGTTGTTACAAACCTGTATGACTTTCTTTCTTCATAAAAGAACATATTTTGGAAAATATCTCTTTCCCTGTGTCTTTGCCTGATTATGTCTACATCCCTACTATATAGTAGGGCAATAAACAGTATGAGAACTGGGTAGCATTTCCAAATTTGTACTATTCATAACAAACAGTAGGTACAATTTCCAAAGTGTGCATCCAATGCATACTTGACTGTCTCATGAAGCCATAAGTCACATGTAATATGTCTAAATTTCATTCATACTACATACATGTATGCTATATAGAACATACTGTTTACTGGTTATGATGTTCATTCCTCATCGAATGTAGTACCTACTCAGTATGCGTTTTTGGACACACCTTGTGTTTTTTGTTGGTGCTGTTTGAACTCCATTGACTTTAGTTTTATGAACAAAAATAATTGATATTACAGTCTTTCTCTGGAGAAAAATCTAAGTAGCAGTAGAATTCAGTAAAGATTTCATATTGTCTTAAAATAATGTCTTTGTTATCTAGGAGAAACAATTTCCAAGTATTACACACCCCATATAATTTTTGATCTGTTGCAAAGCAGTGGTCCCTCCGTTTGGAATGACGACCCTTGAAATGTCCTGATGCCCTGAATGGCAGAGAAACTGTGTAGGTCTGATGAGGTCACTGTAGTTATTCTCTATTCCATGCCAAGGAGCCATATTGGCTGCATGTGTTGTGCTTCTTTGTGGGCAATTTGTGCCTAACATGTTGTTGAAAATCTCCGCTCTCTCTTTCTTCCAGATCCGGCTCCCACCCCTCTGCCTGGAAAGCCTTCACCGTAAGTCCATTTTCCTTTCCTCTGTGCCGTACCCCATCTAAAATCTTCCATTAAATATAGCAGAGCAAAAACTTGCATAAGCAAATGATTTAATTGCTCTTTCAAGATTTGTCTGGCTAAAGCTTTTCCATTTTATGTGTGAGTGAGTGGATGAGGTAGACCTGCACAGAAAGGAATGCATGCTCTTGTCTGTAAGATAAAATTTGTTCAACAAGGATGAATTAAATTGATCAAAAGTGACAATTTACATACCATTTATTTCATTGTTACAAAAAATTACATTTTAAATAAATGCTGTTCTTTTGTACTTTCAATTCTTCAAAACAGCCTCTAAAGCTTGTATCCCAGTATCCACAAAAATATTAAGCAGCACACTAATGACAAGAAATGTTTCTTGAGCACCAAATCAACATATTAAAATTATTTAGAATAATGTAATAAGTAATGGCTACTGGGAATTTAGTTTTGCCATCACATAAATCAATTACATATTAAAATAGAAAACATTTATATTAAATTGTAAAAAATATTTCACAAAATTATTTACTTATATAATTTATAATTTTATATTGTATAATTTATAATTAAATAGTATATTTTATTATTAAATTAAATCATTATTAAATATTTAAAAAGTTATAAACTGTTGACAAACTATAAACACTGCATTTCAGTATTCAGTATAACTTATTTTCACTGTTGTCAAATTAAAGTTTTATATTAGAATTGAGATAATTTGAGATTTACAATGAAAAATGACAATGAAAGCTACATTGCAGAGCTCATAGTTCATTTCAGATGTGTATGAGGAACTATTCTTAGATGTGGTAATTAAAAACTGTTCTTTGCTTTTCTGATTTATAGCTTTACAGTGAGCCTTCCAGAAACTTCAGCAGGTCAATTCTAGGTTAGCAAAGACAAATGAAGATGTTGTCCATGTTGCTTGCATGTGTCTTGTTTAAGGCTGTAGGAACTGCAGTATTTGTATGTCTAACTTCATTAAAATCAGCCAGCACCTGTTTGTGCTAAAATGTACAACCGGCCTCACCACATGTTTCTGTTTCAACCCACTCAGACTACAGACAGTGCATTAATACACTGCCTTCATGTTTCTCTTTTAATCTTACCATATTTCCATGCTGCAGGCTTCAACACCTACTGTAGCCACTTAGCATGGGAGCGTAGATTTATGATAGCATTTTTAATTTTTTTTAGATCCTGGTAATACTTTCAATTTAGTGCTATAGTTTTCGCCCTCACTAGCATCTTCTCATATTATGTAGCAAGTTGACCCACTGTTAGGAGTAAACAGTCACGTGGTTTTTATTTACAGTACTGATGCGAATCTCAAAGTAGTGCAGATTACATTTCTAAGCTTTGTGGATTGTCTCCATCCAAATCAAAGACTGAACCCCTGACCGTTTGACGTGACTGGCCGCGCTCCAAATCACATTAATATTGATTAAAGTCCACAAACCCGTCTGTGTGCCTCTAAGCCTCGTACAGACGACAGCACGGCTCGTTTTGGACTAGCTGCCGTCATTGCACTGAGGTGCGCAGAGATCCCTTTGAGCCATATGTTGGCCTGTTGGTAACCATTAGTGTCATCATCAAAGAAAGTCATCATGTCAGCTTCCATCAAGAGGAAAAGGGTCAGTATGCTGTCTGTTTTTCTTTACGCTCTTTCTCCTTTATGTGCCTCCTTTTTTTCCGGATACGTATCGAAGTGTCAGCCTCGTCTTGGTGAGCGGTACCTGGTAAAGAGAGTGTGGGGAGAGGGTGTCCCTTGTGTGGTGTTGTGGCTGGGACTCTAATGAAATTCTTCCTTTAATGAACTCCAGAGCAGAGGTGCGTTTGCAAGCCTGGTGTCAGTGCGTAGACTGAGAGCTGAACTGGCCACAGCTGGTCTTAAACTGGCCTTGTAGTGGGGAAGAGAGGAAATATGAGCGAAAGTGTGGAGGGGTATTGATGTCTAAAGAGCAAAAGGTCAATGAATGGCAGGGTAAAAGGGATGAGGCACAAAAAGGAAAGAATGAAGTGACACATTCATAGATTAACAGTATGGAAGCTTGTTTTTGTCCATCCTGAGAAATAAGCAAGGTTTTACCATTTTGAAAGCTAGTGGTTTAGTGCTGGGAAAAGCAGTTTTGAAAGAATCTGAGTATTATAGCCTGATAAAATATCCCTCACTTACAATTGTGACTTTTTTTCTCATATTTGTAAATTATGTAGCACTAATGCAACTATATTTCTTGTAATTGCAACATATTTTACACTTGTGGCTTTATTTGTCATATTTGCAATTTCATGTCTCACAAATGCAACTTTATTTATTGGAATTTGCAACTTAATTTTTATGTATTGTGATTTTATATTTTAGAATTGTGACTTTATTTCTCATATTTGCGACTTTATGTAGCACTAATGCAACTATATTTCTTGTAATTGCGATGTTATATCTTACAATTGTGACTTTATTTCTCATATTTGCGACTATGTCTCACAATTGCTACTTTAGTTGTTGTAATTGTAACTTAATTTTTACATAACTGCAACTTTATATCTTACAGTTGTGACTTTATATATCATATTTGCAACTTTATATCTCACAAATACAACTTTATTTATTGGAATTTGCAACTTAATTTTTTATGTAATTGTGACTTTATATTTTACAATTATGACTTTATTTGTCATATTTGCAACTTTATTTCTTGTAATTGCTACTTAATTTTTATGTAATTGCAACTCTATAATTTTTACAATTTTGACTATTTCTGTAATTGCAACTTTATATCTCACAATTTTTACTTAATTATTCCATAAATGCAACTTATTTTATTTCTCATAATTGTGACGTATCATATATAACTTTTTTAAAATTGTAACTTCACATTCTCACAACTTTGACTTTTTTTTTTTCGTAAATGCAACATCTCACAATTGTGACTATTTCTCATAACTGTGATTTTTTTTTCCCTGTTTTTTTCTGTAGTTGTGACTTTATGTCTCAAAATTGTGGCTTTCATTAAATGAATAAAAACAGTTGAAACATATTTCAAAATATCCTCTTTCCATGTTCCACAGAGGAAAGAAAGTCATACATGTCTTGAATGGCATGATGATGAGTAAATGATGACAGAATTTTCATTTTTGGGTGAACTATCCCTTTAAAAATTTGACCATAATGGAGTCCCATGAGCCCTTTATGACACTGGAGGTTGTTTGTTTGATGAGGGCGGATTTGGCTTTGATTCAGTGATGTGAGGTTAACTCTGCTTTATCTGTTGTAAGCGGAATGGCTTGAATAAGGTGAGCTGGTCTCAAAACAGCAGGTAGGGGCAGCGTCTACATACAGTCCCCTTTTGTGTCTAGCGCGTCTCAGATGCTCACCACAGCTGCACGTCATGATTGCTCACACTGAAGACCTTATTCATTGACTTTTTAATAAATGCAATATGTTTTCTTCCCCTTTTCACTGCCTCTCACTTTTAACATTGCCTTTTTTATGGGGACCACCTGGAAAGGAGGTAATCGAACACCATGGATGAGGAATGGGCATGAACCTTGAAAGAACAAACAATGGTCACTGTTGTTCTGGCCCAAATGTCAGCCATCCTGTAGGGGAGAGAGGTCTCAGCATCACACCTCTTTCACTCATTCTCTCACTCATTGATGCTATTGATGTTTTTGGGAAGCACGGAAGGAAGAATTTAATAGAACAGACTTTTAAAGGAGATAAATGACTCATCAACCAACATTTCCTGTGCTTCATTGAAGCATCCCACACACAAAATTTTTTTTTGATGATATTCATAGCTATTTCATATTTCATAGCTTAGGTTTTACTGGTATTTCCTAGAACAGTAGTTCTCAAACTTTATAATTTAAAGGCATAGTTCACCTAAAAAATTTAAATTCTGTACCCTCATGTCGTTCCAAACCAACTTTGTTTATCTTCGGAACACAAATTAAGATATTTTTGATGAAATCCGAGAGCTTTTTGACCCTGTATAGACAGCAACGCAACTACCACGTTCAAGCCCCAGAAAGGTAGTAAGGACATCGTTAAAATAGTCCATGTGACATCAGTGGATTAACTGTAATGTTATGAAGCTACAAGAATACATTTTTGGGTGTTTTTCAGTTGCATGCCTTGAAAATGACAGTCCTACTACAGTTTCTACCATTTCTGATTCTCATTTTTAGCTACATGTTTGTTTGCCATCACTAGCATCTTTCAGAATCAGCTGTTTGACTTTCAGTTGAAAGTGATGCACATAAATAATACTGAAGGAGCTGCTGAGGTTATCCTTATCAAAATATCGTTAATGTACTGTAAATAGACATGATTTCTTTACTGTGATTTTAGCATGAAGAGACAGCTTAATTTACACAATGCAGTTGTGCTGCTGGTCTCCCATGAAACGTCAGCAGAATTCTTTAATAGCAGGCGGTTGAACCGTATACGGCCCCACATTTCTTCAAGGTTGTTTATAAAATCCCCTTTTTCCCTGTTTGAAAAGATTAATACTACCATCACCGGCTTGTCAAGCCTGTTAAAGTTTTCCCAGCTGTGTGAAAGGGAAACTTTTTCTCAAATAAAATTACATTTAAAAACGAGATACTCAGCTTTTTTACGATTGCGGTTTTAACTGGCCTGCTGAATGGTGGATCGAACTGATCTTAAAGGGGTCATATGATGCTTTTTTAAAGATCATTATTTTGTGTATTTGGTGTAACAGAATATGTTGACATGCTTTAATGATCAAAAAACACATTATTTTTCAAATGGGGCGTGTTAGAATGAGCCGTTTTAGGGGGGCGTGGCAGAGTCTTAACTTTGATAAAGCATATCTCTTTGGTTTTGAGGCTTTAGTCTTTGCAACTTCAGGGATCTTATCTATGCACAATCAGCTTGTAACACTCCAAAGAGAAAGGAAAACTTGAAATCGCATCATATGACCCCTTTAACAAATTCCAGACCATTGTACGCTCAA